GAGCATCGCGCTCGGTAGAAGAAAGGTCGTTCATATCGTAAAAGCGTCCGTTACGATATTTGATTCGCATGTAGCGCCGATCGGATGTAATTTAGACGCACCGCGCGCGAATAACACGCCTGTCGGACTCGCTCGCGTCGCATTTGTACGGCTCGTAGGAGCATAGAATTCCGCTTACTTCCCCCGGAGGGCTTCGCCGGTGCGGGATGAATGGCCTTACAGCCTAGTCACGCCGATGGATGGACGAAACCGAAGGAGCGCGCGCGCGAGAGAGCCACCGAGCGAAGCAACAGGTGTATACCGCGGAAAGGCGGGCCGATACCAACACGTGCTTGTCTTCTTGCGCACTCCTGCGCGCACGTAGTGCGCCCTCGGTTCTCGGCACAGCCGACCCTGCCTAGGCCCCGCGGCCTCTCGCTCTCGCTCGCCGAGTCCTTCTCCTCGCTACGCTTCCTATTCTTGACAGACACTTCTTCAACGAGCTTCTCGTCAAATTTAACAATCTACCTCGGCGATCTGGAGGACCAGACAGCTGTACACGCAACAGTCGCGGAAAGATTTGCAACATCGATTGCATGAGCGGTCTCGGCTCTTCTCTCTCTCTCTCTCTCTCTCTCTCGCGCGCGCGCGCGCGCACGCGCGCGCGAGAGAGAGAGAGAGAGATCCTTCCTCGTCTCGCGCAATTTTAAGCGCTGCGAGTCCCTGATTCGCGCTCATGCGAAGCGATGGATTTTTATTGAGCTTGCTTTATTTCGGGTATGCTCTTTTCTCTCTCACTGTCTCTCTTTTGCGTGTAATAATTGTGCCAACTCATTATCGCGCGTTACCGACGCGTTTCTTTGGCAGCGGCTATTCTTCATCCCGAAATATAGGAGAGAATAAGAATTTCCGACGGCGCGGCGAGACGGAGAGAAACAAAACGGCGGACGATTTCGGCGACGCGCTCCTCTCTCTCTCTCTCTCTCTCTCTCTCTCTCCGAGAGAGCGGTTTGCTGCGGAACAGCTGCCGCAGTTGTTTGGTTGCCGAGTATTCTCGAGGTGTCGAGGAAAGAGGGATAAGCCAGAAGACGTTGGTAGCACGTGCCCCGCGTCGGTTATGCTTACCCCGGCGTATTCCAGATGGGCGAGAGAGAAAAAAAAATCTCCTTATAAACAACCGCGGGAGTTTTCGGGGTCACGTTCGGAGCTGCTCTTCACGTGTCGCAGCTCATTCGCTCGACTCGATTATCCGGAAATCGACAATTCGTACACACAGCACAGACACTTCAAAAATTTTTTACTACTCGCGTTCCGCTTGCGATATTTATTTTGCGAATATTATTCTCCGAGCACAGCGTTGCAGTTTTATTTTAATTTTTATCCTGAATATATATATATATATATATTTTTTTTTTACCCTTTTTTTTTCTTATTTAGTTTTATTTGCATCAACACGACTGGCCATTTGCATATCTTCGATCACTCTGGTAGCGTGAGAATCTTTATTAACCGCTTCGCAACGTTACCAGTCAGGCAGAATAATTAACGGGAAAAGCAAGAGGGGCAAATGTGAGCGTAGACAAAATACATAGCTAATAAAGTAGAGAAACAATGATTCTAGACTATCAGATATCGCGTACGCTTATTAATTTTGCAAGTGAAAGACTTTAGCGGCGGTAGGAAGATCGAATGCGGACTTTCTATGTGCGATCGACTTTGTGATTGAAATCGCGAACATTTACGGACGAAATCGCGCCGTGTGTTCTATCGCGAGAACGGTAATTGTGTCTCGACAATTGTGAATCGACATTACCGCGATTGTGCAGGGCTACGCTCCAAGTTCTCGAACGAAGCTACTGCGATTTTGCATCTTTCAAGCCGTAGTGTTTTTCGCAAGCGTCGACTGTCGACGCTTTAAATTAAAACAAAAAAAGAGATTAATGTCTTGTGTTTTGCAAATTCCTCAAGATCCTCGAGGTCTCTCGGTGTTTTCGAAACTCGGCTGTACGACATCTGCCTGCCGACACTGTATAATGAATAAATGCAGTTTTAGATTATGAATTACAGTTATAATGAGACGTAGCGAGGAATAAGAAGGATTGTTTTTTCTTCATCTTTTTTTTCTTTCTTTTTTTTTTACCACGGGCTGTGCCATCATTCCGCGGCGGAATTAAGCGCGCCCTCGGTATATTCTCTCGACTATAAATGCGTATTTTAAGCCAATTAAGGTTACCGAATACGAGAAAATATTTTTACCGATCGACATTAATTGCTTGGAAGAAGTACTCCGACCGTCATACCGGCCGCAAATAACGCAAACTATGCAAATTTATGTTGATCGTGTCGGGTCAAATGCCATTTAGGTCGCGAGCCTCGGGTGTTTTGAATTTCCATTCGATTAAGTAACGATCACGCGCTCTGTGTCTAACTCGGCGTCGCGCGGCCCGACCGAGTCGGTCGACCAACCGAGCGAACCGACGCGACGCGACGCGACGCGACGCCGAATGCGTTTTATTGAAGGAGAGAAAAAAGAGGAAGAGGAAAACTCGTTAATTCGGCGCGCCGACAACTGCCGGCATCTGTCAGCCGTCTCGCCGTCGCGCGATATCGCAATCTCCTCCCTCTTATATATTCGGGGATACAAATGATACATTACGAATGCCCGGCTACTGATTTATAACGCGATGCGGCGATATTACAGAGCGCTGTACGCTGCCTCACCTTCGCCACGAGCTGTCTGGACGAGCTGTCCCCAGAAATTGTACGATTGTCTTTATGCACTTGAGCCAGCATTTGCATAATCGTATTCACGAGCCGTGAATCGAAAACAGAAATCGAAGCGGCCGAGTAAACGCGTCGGACAATTGAGGGCGATCGTCTCGATCGACGACACGACACCTCGTCGCTTCTCGAGGGTAGCACCTTTTGCGCTACGTCGGAAGAGATCTGGGCGCATGCGCCCAAATATTTTATATCGCGTACAAGAGGAAGAGAGACTACGTAGACGCGTGTGATAGAGAAGACGAGGTCGTTGACTCGCGCGTTTCTGCAGCGGAGAATTTCAGAGAAGCTCGATTACTCGAACGAAACGAGTTCAGTGACGAGCAATCCAACGATACGCCAGAAATACCCAGGCGATACGACGATAGCCGCTGCGCATAGTTTCCGCCGAAAACGCTCCTTCCGGAAGCACTCTCCGGAACAGAGAAGAGTCTACTTCTTCGTTACGGGGTATTTTTGTTGCACACGCGGAACACCTACTCGCAAACAAGCCAAAGCTCTGAATGCGAGCGCTGAAGACGCGCGCGCTCGCTTTTCACGTCGTGAAACCGCGAGGTTGATTGTACGCGCGCGACATCCACACCGCGCGAGTATCGCCCCCACGGGTGTCGAGGTTCCTCCTGCTAAACTGTGCGCGTCTCTTTCTAAATTCTACGCGCGTAGCGGAGCCGTTGGCACGTGAATTCTCAATAGATCGCCTCGCGCGCGTCCAACG